AAAAGGTGGCATTTGATAATTCAACACAATTCTCTGAGGTAGACTTGACATATATTCAAACTAGAATCACTTCATGATTTCATTGATGATCTCTATGTGAAATTCAAGTTAAGAGGTAGACACAAATTTCAAAGCAGAACATACTACTGTATTTTTTTGTTTGTTTTTTTTAAATTCTTTATTCGTTAAGGTATTACAAATGTGTCCTCATCCCCTCCATTAACCCCCAACCTCCCCACCAACACACTCATGCTCTCATCCCCCTGTTGTCCATGTCCATTGGCATACTACTGTTGCTATTCACTGCTTTGCAGATCTTCTTTAAGACCAGACTGGAGAACAGGGGGTGGGGAATGTCTGGCCTCAGGCTGTATAAGCCCCGCAAAATCATTTAGTCTGGCCCTGCCAAGGCATGAGGGGTGAGTTAATTAAAAGTTTGACTAAATATAGCAGGCTAATTTTTTAAAAAGTATATTTTTATTGATTTCAGAAAGGAAGGGAAAGGGAGAGAGAGATAGAAACATCAATGATGAGAGAGAATCATTGATCGGCTGCTTCCTGCATGCCCCCCCACTGGGGACCAAGGCCGCAACCCAGGCATGTGCCCTTGACTGGAATCGAACCCGGGACCCTTCAGTCTGCAGGCTGACGCTCTATCCACTGAGCCAAACCAGCTGGGGCTAGCAGGCTAATTTTTAACTTGATAATTTTGTATGGCCTGCAGATGATGCTATAAATATCCAAATAGCCCTTTAGCAAAAAAAAAAAAAAAAAAAAAAAAAAAAGTTCCTCACTTCTGCTCTAGAAGGATGAAAAGACTGATAGATTTCTTGCAATAATCCAAAAGGGGTGGGAAGAAATGAGTGGCCACAAATAAAGCTAAAATCCAGTGTTCCTACCCTAAAGTAGTAAAAAGTCTTATTTGTTCAAGGCATTAAAAAAGGGAGGTAAAAAAAAAGAGAGGAAGGTAAGCTTAAGGTTGAATATTTTTTAAAGACTTAATTAATGAATTATGTGGGAATAGAAAGTGTTATAGAGCCTTTGGATACAGACTACTATATGAAAACACCATTAAGATAAAAAAATTTAAGTACCAGAATTATTGCTTTGAGTTTTTTCCTTTAAAAAATAAAGTCACCTATATTATCTATTTTGAGTCCTTGATGCTAGGTTTTAGAAATACAAAGATGGTTTCTGACCTCATGGAACTCCAAGTCTAGAGCTAAGAAGAACAAACACTATTATCTGTAACTGGTGAGATATCTATACTAATAAAAGGGTAATATGCAAATTGGTCAGGACATCCTCACAGTAATGACCGAACAGCAGGCTGCGTGGGGGGACCAGGCCGGCAGGGGGGTTAGTGAGGGACGACCAAACGACCGAACAGCAGGCTGCATGGGGCAACTAGGCCGGCAGTGGGGGGCAGTGTGGGGCAACCAAATGACCAAACAGCAGACTGCGTGGGGCGACCAGGCTGGCAGGGGGGGCTGTGAGGGGCTATCAGGCAGGCAGGCGAGCAGTTAGGAGCCAGTGGTCCCAGATTGTGAGAAGGACATCCCCCAAGGGGTCCCAGACTGGAGAGGGTGCAGGCTGGGCTGAGGGTCGCCCCCCGCCCCCATGCACCAATTTCATGCACCGGGCCTCTAGTCCTATATAATAAAAGGCTAATATGCAAATCAGCTGAACTGTGGAACAACCAATCGCTATGACGTGCACTGACCACCAGGGGGCAGACGCTCAATGCAGGAGTGCTAAGGACATCCTCTGTGGCAGCCCTAAGGACATCCTCCGAGGGCTCCTGGACTGCGAGTGGGCGTAGGAAGAGCTGAGGGACCTCCCTCTGCCTCCATGCACGAATTTCATGCATCGGGCCTCTACTATGCTATAAGAAGAAATGATAGAGGGAAATGTAAGTAGGAGTTTGTTACGAGTAGGTAGATTAGAGAAGTATGGCTGGGGAGAGGGGTTCTTAGGAAGCAGCAGATATATGAAAATGCCTACTTCAAGAGCCTTTCACCAAAAACAAAGACAGAAGAAAATAAAACACTTTGGGTAGAAAAAAAAATCAGAAAATCTTAATAAAAAAAAAGGAAATCTTAATTCACACATCTATGCTTTCTAAATCAAGCATTTAAGATTGTCTTGATCAACTCTGCCTTAATTGGAAATCTAGCTCTTCAATTTTCCCTGGGATAGGGGGTGAGGGGAAAGTTTTCCGGTAGAGGGAATGGAATGGAGAAAGCACGTAAGTGGGAACACTTGGCATATTCAAGAATCTGAAAGAGGTGCCTAGTTTAATGCCTAGACCAGTGATGGCGAACCTTTTGAGCTCAGCGTGTCAGCATCTTGAAAAACCCTAACTTAACTCTGGTGCCGTGTCACATACAGAAATTTTTTGATATTTGCAACCATAGTAAAACAAAGACTTATATTTTTGATATTTATTTTATATATTTAAATGCCATTTAACAAAGAAAAATCAACCAAAAAAATGAATTTGCGTGTCACCTCTGACACGCGTGTCATAGGTTTGCCATCACTGGCCTAGACTTGGCACTCAGTAAATGCTTATTCACTATGACCAAATGAGGACCTGATATGTCAGAAATGCTTTCTCAGGCTTTTAAAAATCAGTTTGTTGCCTGGCTGGTGTACCTCCATGTTTGAGCATCAACTGATGAACCAGGAGGTCCAGATTCAATTCCTGGTTACTGGGGTTGCAAGCTTGATCCCCAGTGGGGGGCATGCAGGAAGCAGCCGATCAATGATTCTCTCTCCCTCCCCCTTCCTCTCTGAAATCAATAAAAAATATTTTAAAATATCAGTTTGTTTTCATTGGGAGGCCATAATTCATAATATCCCTTACTTTCTTATTCTTTCCTCAGCTTTCCAGTCATGCTTCCCACAGATGCATACTGGGTATGTCCTTTACCCAGTCTATCTAGTCCTACCCTGGAGACATACAAGAGTCACTCTTGGGTGCTTTGCCCTTATATACAGACACTTACACTCAACTGCAAATTTCCAACTCCATGCCTTTCAATGCAGCACACTTAATGATTCCACTGGCTAGTGAGTCAGTGGAGCACTCTATGGGTGAGTCCAGGCCCCTTGGGTCCTGAGAACCTCTGAATGCAAAGCCACTGGAGTAATTATTGAAACACATTCCACCACAATTCTACCGCCTCTACAGAGCCTGTGCTTACCCGAGTTCCTATAATAAATAGAATGATCCAGGGCAAGGCAATCCTCTGGGCCTTGGTATTACCTGGAAAGCAGGTATAACACTGCTTTGCCATGCTCACTGGGCTGTTGTGAGGATTAAATGCAAGAATGGCTGGGGGAAAACCGCATAATGACAGCCTACATTTATTCGATTTTCTATCATCTATAATGACAGCCAGAGACACGGTGCTAACGCATCAGGACAATCTAAGTGTCCCCGTCTGGGAGAGGAGGGACCTGGAGCTGAGAGAGAGCTTGTATGGACATCGCCTTTGATCTGATTGCTGAGCGAGCAACCCATACCCCGCCCTCGGGAGGCGGAAGGGTGGCCAGGCTAAAAGGCTCCGACTCCGCAGTCTGGCTCCACCGCCAACCCCGGGTGTGACCTGAGGCAACCAAGTGCCTTAAGCTCTTGGGGCTCAGCTTCTCCCCCGCGGAAAGGGGGTCACAGAAGGTGCTCAAGGGGTTGTAGCGAGAACTAAGTGAGATTTAAAGCGCTGAGCAGTCATGTCTTGGCACACAATTCATTTTAGCTTTTATCACTATCGTATTGATTTTTAATAGATGTAAGGGCAGTGCCCGGAAGTTTGTAGAGTTTGGCGGGGTGGAGGGAAGTCTGGTCTGGAGTCGAGGGATTCTCTGAGGAACTTGTGACCTTGGGCAAACTGCTCCTTTTCCGAACTTCACTTTCCCGCCTCAAATGAAAAATGGACGGAATGATCTATACTCGCCCTTCCTTCCAATTTCGCACTCGGCGGCGCCCGGCTGGGCGGCGACCCTTCTGGGTGGGGAAACTCCCACCGCCCCACAGGGAAGGGTGGGGGTGGGGGCGGAGCCGGGGTGGGGCCTGGCGCGGGTGGGATCCGGCAGCCCACCTGCCGCCGCTCACCTCTAGGCTGTAGTTGCCCCGGATGGCGGTGAAGTCGTCCAGGGCTTCGGCCGCGCTCCCCTCGTCCAGGTTCAGCTCCTGGCACAAGGGCCTGCAGCGCCTCCCCGGCCGCGGCGACCACCGGCCGCCCCCTCGGCGTGGGACTCGTCTTCCAACATCTTCGCAGGCCCTGCGGGCGGCACGATCACAAACCCCTCTCTTGGCTCCTTCTGGGCGCGCTACCCACAACCCCCTGCGCCAAAGCGCGCGAAAATCGCAGCTGCAGAGCGGCGTCTCTTCGATGGTCTGCCTCCGCGTTTCGCCGCAAAGAAGTCCGTTTCTCCTCCAGGGCTCCAAGCGGTCCCTCTTCGGAAATATGATAAGAAGACGGACTTCGGGTCCTGAAAAAAAACCTGGACTTGGCTCTTGGCGGGCAACGGTGGGCGCAGCTGGCTGGGCAAATTGGAAGCGGAGGGATCAGCACTTTGCGCGCAGAGTCTGCTGGGAGTTGTAGTCCATATACTGCCCTGAAGCCGGCGGCGTCGCCCTTGTCCCAGCGGCTCTCCGGCCTGGGTGTGGCTGGGCTGTCTGTTGCGAGGTGGCCTCGATCACCTTAGGGAGAAGGCTCCTCTGTCCCGCCTACGCTCGGGCCTGGTGTGTCACTGCTCCGCGGCGCCAAACATAATCTGAGACTTGCCCCTTGAGTTAGGAGATGGTGGAGGGAACAGAAAAAAGTGGTCCCTTGACAGCGGACGGGGGGATGGGATGGAGGGGGGTGGTGGGAGGACCTTGTGGGGCGCTCCTCAGTGTCTCCTGCGCCAGGTAAGTGAGCGTGCCGTTTTAATGACTGAATTGTTGGTGAAGCAAGGATCTTAGGGGACAGCTCCCCATATCTTCCTGATCGCTAAACAAGGCTTGACCTGGATTCAGAGAGATGCAGTGAGGGGGCCTCTTTTCAGCTCCCTGGACCCTGGGAACTGTCTCAGTACAGTCATTCTAGGCTGAGGGATGCCTGAGCATAAACCCGAAGGCATGGCACTGGCATCGAGACGTACCTTCTGCTCCACCGAAACCCCTGCTTCAGGAGGCACCAGAGTGAGCTTTGAAAAGGTAAATCAGAGCTGTGGTCGCCAGCCTTTGGGACCTCACGGACCCCCAGCGGTCCGCGGACCGCCAGTTGGCGACCGCATGTCATTCCTTCACTAAAAATCCTTCAAAAGATTCCTCTTGCCTTTAAAATAGTCTCCAAACTTCCTTTCCATGGCCTACAAGGCCCCTTGTGATCGGGCCCCACCCTATTTAGGGCTTTGCTCTCCCACCCCTACCCCTTAGACATATAGTAACGTTCAGCCTCATTGCTTCGTTTTGGAACCTCCAAAACGCCAAGCTACCAAGCTCGTTCTTGCTTCAAGGCCTTTGCCACGTGCTGATCAGATGACCCCATACACGCTGCACAAGATCTTTGCTGGTCTGGCTCCTCCTCATTCAAGGCC